AGCACCCTCACCGGCCACCCAGAACAAAACGCAATCCCAACGGCCTCATCAGCCCAAAAGGAAAGATCAACCATCAACGACCAAGGATAGACAGTACCTTCGTCGGCCACTCATGCCAGAACACTCATCATCCACAAATAAAGCGCACCAAATGAATAACAGCCTTCCCCGTCCGCATCAAGGGGTAGGTAACGGGCAAACTCAGAACTTGGCCATCAAACGCCACGACAGAGAACGGCCAACGATGTCCCGCATCGGCCAAAAGCATCAAGCACAGAAATCTACTCTCCTTCACTTCGTCTGCATCTCATCTTAGAGAGTGGGGGACTCCTGATGGAGTATATGGGTCTAGGCCCCAGGACCCACATACTCAGAACAGAAAGTACAAGCCAACTAGGATGCCCTCGCCGGCCAAAGGACCCCGTCGGCCGAAGAAGGACCAACTCGGAATATGGTCCTGAAGCCAGGGAACTAGGGTGCCCCCGTCGGCCGTGCCCTTGTCGGTCGTGCCCTCGTCCGCCACGGAAGCCTCGCAGAACTGGATTTTACACTCACTCATTTATACACTCCATCCTTTACTTTGTATTCGGCCCAATAGCGGTCCGGTTGTAAATGGGCCTCCCAAGCCCAAGGCTTGGGAGCCCGGCCCGTATTTTTCCTATAAATACTTCCTATGGAGGTAGTTGTAGGAGTTACAAAATCATTCTATTGAAGCATTTACTTGCACTTCTCTCTCTAGCTCTCACTTCTCTCTAGATATATACTCTATCAAATAATGTGTTACAAATATTTATAGAGTAATTGTACGATGGAGTATTAAGATTTTGGGTGTATTTTAAAGATATTCGTTTTTTAAAAATAAAACAAAACAAAATCTTAGAAAAAAAAAAGAAACAAAATTTAAGGAAATATAAAATTTTTTTTTAATATAAAAAACAATACAAGGAGTGAGTTTAAATTTGAAAGAGGCGGTGAGTTTGGCGAGCTACATTCTACAAGCAAATTGAAAGAGGACAAATTGGTCCAAAAATGAGAAAAAAAGGTGTGCCTAGTAAACTTAGGGGTGCACGAAGGAGGTCCTTTTAAGGAGGTATGAGTGCGACTGCACCATTTGGAAACGAATTCAAGGTTCAAGAGACGATAATCATGTCTTCTTTGAGTGATCTAGAGCAACAGTGTCTCATTTCTGCAATTGAGGAGGAGGTCGAATGGTTAGTTTCTAGCGAATCAACATGGATAGAGAGCGATGGTGGTAGTGTAGGCAGAACGGGCGAGGAGAAGACGCCGAGAAGTGAAGGGCTAAGCAAGGGAGAAGACAGATTGGCGGTCCGCCCCCCTCCTGAATCGCCGCCTTGGAGCGATCAAGGTGCTAGGGTTTGGAAGATTTATCAGTTATTTAATTTTTTATGGTTTTACTTTCACGTTATGTTTTTTGTTGGTGTCTTTAATTTTATGTCTACAATTATGATTGCCAATTCTTCTAGATATTATGTCTTTAGAAAGATCTATATAGCCAGTGACTGTTGTGTCACAACCGTTTGGTGGTTAGCGATTCGTATTGCTCTTTTAGGGGTGATCGTCTCTGAGTCTAGCCATAGGGTTGATAAATAGTGCTAATTGGTTAGAGATAGTTGTTGTCGGGGTTGGTCTTCTTGAGTTTGTTGTAAAGATCTGATTCTTAATGATATTAAATATAAGCAGTTTGTTTTGACGATAAAAAAAATCCAGTGATTCTGGAAAGCATACGCAGTATCAGAAAAGTCTAGTACATGGTGAACCGCCACCGGACAGGTACCGTTCTGGTCACCGTTCCTAGAAAAAAGCTCTTGTTCTTCGTTTTTACAAGTAGCATTTTTATTATTTAAAGCAATTAAAGAAAAAAATTGGAGCAGGGCAATTGGATCCAACCCTATTTTGCTCACTAATATAGAAGAAATGGTTCTAAATAAGAGTAAAAATAATGTGAAATTTAGAAAAAAGATATTTCTATTTCCTATGCAAGAGTAACTTATAGCATTAATACTATCAATACAAAGTCTAGTAATGTCAAAATAGATTTAAAATTTCAGATGACAATAAATTATTTCTATTTAGGAGAAAAATATATAGTAATATAGTTTTGAAATTTCACGCGATTTTCTCAATCATTTCGAAATATTAATTGTATATCTCATTGAACTAGATTGCAATTTGCAACCAGATAACAATAACATTCAAATTTCAAAAGTAAGATTAGACCAGATTAAAACTTTTTGCCCGGCCATCGCCAATTAAGGAAGTTCCCAGTGAAACTTTTTGATGAAATTTTTTGAGCATCTTTTTCATTAAGTCTAGTTTACCCATATCAAATTTCATCTAAAAATTAAATCGGGAAGGCAGTCAAATGATTTTCTGAAATGTACTGCGCTATTTAACTGCGTAGTTATCTTCAAAAAATCATTTGACTGTCTTCCCGGTTGAATTTTTAGCTGAAATTTGGTATGAGTAAACTAGACTTAATGAAGAAGATGTTCAAAAAATATCATCAAAAAGTTTCACTGGGAACTTCCTTAATTGGCGACGGTCGGGCAGAACCTCCTATATAAAGGGCTAATTGAACACTTTAAGTTAGTTCATGTATCTATTTGACCTTTGTCTTTTGTTAAAAGATTACTTTACGTTGAGAGTTGAAATGACTAGAATAATAAAAAAGTACTTTCTTTTGCATTACAGTTACACCACCTCATTGTTCCAATGCCATTTATATTAATTGCTTTAGGAATATCGTTGCCTAACATTTTTTTGAATCAGTACATTCATTTCAACTCCTCAGTAAATGCAGTCATTTCAATCAAATTTTACATTCATCATACCTAGGGGTGGTCCGGGTGGACTCGGGGTGGTCCGGGTGGACTCGGGTTGGTCCGGTCCCGGTTCCAGGCCAAGACCGCCCGATCCTTCCTTTTTTCAAGGCCCAGGCCCGACCTATATTAATCCGGTTCTGGGTCAATTCCGGCAGGGGCGGATGCAGTATACTAGCAATGGGGGCACATGCCTCCAATAAACTCCAAAAATATCGTAAGAATTCATAAAGAAAACCAATTGTCCAAGTTGGAAATAAACGTATGCCCCCAATAAATTTTTTGTATTGCCCCCAACAATACTCTGCATTACTTTTTTACAAGATGAAAATTTAAACGTTAGGTTTCATAACTTGCTATTTTATTTATAAAGAAATATTCTCCACTAATTTCCGGAGTATTTTTTAAGAAAAAAATATTTTAAAAATTTCTAAGAGTTAAATACTAAATCCACCAAACATTATAACTCAAAGTTTGTAATATAATACGTTCCATTTAGAGATCTAGGCAATCGGTGATGAATATTTGAGTATTTTTATTACACTTTAATATCTAAAGTTGGTTTAAAAATACATTATGATTAATTTTTTTTTGTTTTATATTCTGAAAGCTGGATTTATCATCTAAAAATACATTATGATTAGTTTTTTTTTGTTATAAATGCTGAAAGCTGGATTTATCATCTTTGTAGAGGTGAATGCTATTGTACCCACAAAAATGATTGTACCATACCTATTATGCATTTGATTGATCCAATCCATTATTCATCATTTGTTTATATTTAGAATTTTCGATTGCAATATTTCAATTGGTCCAAGTCCAGTACGTTGAGGGTCCGTAGAATTAGTCTTTTGTAAATTTATATGGTTATTTTAAAAGAAAAATTATTCTAGTTAAGTAATTTAAATTCATTTTCACCAACAAAACATAATTATTAACATTAATTTTTTGTTATACACGATTAATAAGTTCAAATTTGATTACGTATGAGTCATGCAATGAGTTTTAGGCCATGTTTGATAACTCTTGTTTTTGGTTTATCAGAGCATCCTCATTCATGATCTCTAATTATTAATTTTTTCTATGATTCTTACCTTTTAAATATTGTTATATAATTAATTTTTAAATAATCTCAAAATTCGTTTATGTCTCCCAACCATCGTCTTTAAATAACCCGATTTTTTCGGTCCAACATTAACTTCTATTACATATACTTTTTTAATAATTTTAAAATAATCCGGATTCATATTTTGATCCCAGATTATTGTAGCAAATAATCTCATTAAACAATCTATGCTACTCAATGATGCTTCTCTAAAAAATCTGCCACGTCACTTATTTAATCTCTTAATAATCCTATCAATGAGGATGCCCTCAATGGGCTTATTTTTCGAACATGTAACTTTAATTTGATTTTGTGCGGTGAATTGTGAAATAATTAAGATAACTAAGATTAAAATTACTTTCCAACTGAATTTGTTATTAATTAAGCAGATTAATCCAATCCGACCTCTTTAATTTGAATTTTATAAATTTGTGCAGATTTAATAGATTGAGCCAATTCTAGTGTTGTTAAAAGTGACTCATAATTTCATCATATTTTGCCCCCAATAGATTTTTATCCTGGATCCGCCACTGAATTCCGGGTACCCAGGCGGTCCAACCAGCCCCGTTATAGTTTTTCACACAGTTTCAAGCTAAAAAGGAAATGAAAAAAAATGGTTCGGTCCCAATTGTTGGAACCCGGGGATCAGGTACCGTTTTTACCCAGTCAGGTACCCAGTCTCGACACGGGACAAGAAAAACAGACTCGGTCCAATTCTGCACAGTACCGGGCCAGTTCAGAACGGATCCATCCATAATCATACCCATTTATGGAATCACCCATTTAATATATTTGGTTAGCCCAATAGTTCTTCGATGTATAGTGTTAGCTCATTGGGTTGGACCAAATAGACAACTAAGTCTACCTAAACACTACAGTACTTCTAACTATTTTATGTCGGTCGACTATTGCTTGCATGAATTTTCAAATAATCTTCAATGATTACCAATATATATTCACGCAAAAGGAATTCGTGTCCTATAATCCTATAATAATAAATACTACTTCCGTCCCTTAAAACTTGTGTTGTTGAGGTTTGTGCTGAGGAGAGAGAATTAAGTGGAACCACAAATTCTTTACTTAAAAAGGAAAGTGACAAAGTTAGTGTAACATCCAAAAAAAATGAAAGTCGACAAACTTTTAAGGGAAGGAGGAAGTATATAAAAAGTGGACAAGCAATAAAAAATTGCATACAAACAAACAAACAAACCCACACATCTGCACACAAATGTTCATCACACTGTCAGCTATGTCGCAAGCTGCACGGAAACATGCAAAAAAAAATGTTTACTCAGAGTTGATAAAAAGTTTTCGTAGTTTCCAAAACGGAAACAAACTCTAGTTTTCATGAGCCTTAACTTGCTTTATACTGAAGCAGATCCTGCATTTGATTGGATTCTACAGTTTGTAATGTGCTTCCATGATTGCTCTGCAGGACTCTCACAGGCTTTCTCAGAAGAGATGGAGAGTCATCTTCAGCTTGTTCTGTCTCCATTTTGGAAGGCCATAGAAGATACTCTTTGTCATTCCAAATTTCTCATGGAACTCCTCTTCTGACAAGTATGCCTATATAAGCCACGTTTAAAAGTTCTCATACACAATATTTGGAGAGCATTTCTAGACACCATTTGTTAGTGTGTGAAATGTGTGCAAACTCTTAACGTGAATGCTTTAACAGCTTGTATAATATAAATGGATTCATATATAGTACCTGTCGTCTGGTAATGTCTATGTCTGTCGCCGGATTTTTTGAACCTATTGTCAGTTGTTCATATGGATATTTTGGCAAGTTTGCATCGGCCTCACTCTGACTGATTTGCGGACCAGTCACCGGATTTTTCGACCCTATTGTCAGTTGTTCATATGGATATTTTGGCATGTTTGCATCGGCCTCACTCTGACTGATTTGCGGAGTGGCCTTACCCGTAGACATGGATAAACCTTAAGCAAAATCGGGAAAAAGTGTTAGAGTCCGACATTAAAGATGTAAAGAGAAAATGATGGGTGGATAAACTTTGGGTTTAACTAGTTAATTGATTGAATTCAATCTTTTAAGTGAAATGTGACTCAAGTGCCTTATGGCCCAGTTGAGCTACTGGATCCCAATCCCCAACTCTACAAAAAACAATAATTAAATAAATTGTACACATTTGGATCATTAACTAAAAAACGTAAAACACATACTTACCATTAGTGTGATAACGATCTGAAGATCCTACAAAAAGCTTTCTGGTAACAGAAGTCGGTGGCGGGCTAGAAAAACGGTTAGTGTGTACAGATTTTATTGAAGAGCTGCCAGGAAAAGCCGAAGGAGCAGGGGATGAACTTCTTCTTCTGAACCCATGAGCAGCACCAACAGACCTACTTCTTGAAGTGTTTGGGGTAGCTTCCCCTGAATATGCTTTCCATGAACTCCTGGATGGGGCCTGCAGAAAGGTCACATTAACTTAAATATAAGCTTTAGCCTATTAGGTAGGATGGTTAGTAAATCACTCACTTCCAGTATTTGATGTTTTCCCTTCAAAATAGCAAGCTTCCGCTCAAATGAGTTGCCAAGCATCTGAGATAATTTAGGTAAGCACTTTGACTTTTAAGTAAATATATAATCAGCAAGCAAAAGGTTAATCAACTGAGCATTTGAGAGAGGGTATGAGCTTACGTTTGCCTTGGAGAAATCCCATTCAAAATATTGAGTGAAGAATGGTGGTTCACAACCTTCTGTTATAATATAGACAGGAATGTAGGGAGAAAGCTTTCCAATGGGAGTCTCCTTGCCATGAAACTTCTGTAAAATTATATAATACATGTTAACATGCTTGGAGATCATTAATAACAATTCATTTGTGGCCTACTTAGCAAGGCAGGAGGATATGACCAAATTATTAAGGTTAAAATTCATGATATTTCCTGAAAACGAAACCCCTTCTCAGATTGTGGATATTTTTTGGCCACAAATGTGGAGGAAGAAAAGAAATAATGCCAAAACATAAAAGTTGATCTGTAAGTTTACCTGGATAAAATCAATAGCTTCCTGCTTTGACTTGATACTTGAATTGTGCCCTATCCATAAATGGATTTCACTATGACAATTTAGTATCAAGACATCTTCAGTTGTGAGATCATCCTGGGAGAAATTAAATATCTCTTTGACCTGCAATATTGAGGCCAGCCAAAAGCCTGTCTGAGATTGCTTATATACTTCTTATTTGCAATTTTGGATAATAAAAATTATTATGCTATAAAAACCACAAAGTTTCCCTAACGGCTCACATAGGCTGTATTTTAGTAAAATATATCCATCAACATTTATAATTCCATTAGAGGCCTACAACTCCTGTGAACAATAATTTACTCCACGATCTGACAAATCCTTAACTATAATTTCTACTCTTTAAGAGAAAAATTAGTTTAAGGTAGTCCTCTGAAATAAGTTTCCATAATGCTATATTACAAGGCTTACAAGTTCACTGATGATTTTAATCAAATATGCAATTAATAATATGACCCTCTCTGAATCTTAACTATTGATGGGGTTCAAGTGTTCAAGTAACACACTACATCATCTTCGTATAGTTTATAAATGCACAATAATTTTGTCAAAATGAGAGGATGACTTGGTCGTTTTAGAATATCTTACTGCAATTACCTATTGGGTTACTGAATGCTCAGTTATTTAAGACTAAAATGCATTTCCCCAAATATTGATGACACTAGTTTAATTTATGAATAGAGGGAGTATAGTTTAATGATAAACTCGGTACTACTGTAAAAAGATATTTGAGAAAACCAAGTACCTTCAAATCGTCTGATTGGAAAAGTTCAACCATATATTAGACATTATCTCAGAACAGGTAAGATCTGCAGAAATATTAAAAAGCAGAAAGACATTATCTTTCAACAGGGAATATCCAAAATCAAAGATATGGCCTCACCTTTAGTAAAGATGCATACAAACAACTGCGGGTCTTCCTTAAATGCCTTTATTTCCTTTTCTGAAGAGTACTCTGACATACCTCCCAATGCATTCCAGAATACATCAGGTTCACTACCTTCCCTCACCATGACTGGCTGCCATTTCGGCTGCAAATATCATAAATAAACACAAAGCTTATGATGCACATAAAAGAAAATAAAAAGTATTACATCTTAAGGTTATATATCCTAAGAAGTTAAAATGATAGGAGAAGAGGTGAAAGTAGCTCAATGCCTGAATCTCTTGTACATTTGTTTTTCTTTTTATACTTATTCAATGTGAGGCGGGGTTTAACAGAGAAATCATTAAAATTTCGTAAGAAACACATACATTTATCATTTCCAACATTCTGTCAAGAAGATCGTGGTCTCTTGAAGATGAAAGATTTCCGACCCAAGTAAATGTAGATGTGTTAGTCTTCAAGATGTAGCAATAGAATGAATTGAGAGAACTTGGAACCTGCAAAAATGGACATTGACATAGGAATAAAATAAAAATTATGGCTTACAAAATGATGAACAGTATTAGGTAATTTTTTAAAGGAGCCCACGTGGTCAAGTTACCAAATGTAGAAATAAAGCCATGTGGTCCACGCGGGTCCCATTTGAGAAAAATATGTTTTTCGCAACTAAAAGACATGCTTACATGATCAACTTGAATGGCTTGCATGTTACATGGACTAGTTCCTTGGATTCGAAACAACGCCACCTTACTCTCACCAAGAGTATTGTCACCAATACCGTTCTCACCAAGAGACTTTTTATATCTTGTACTCTTACCTCCCTGCACCATATGAAGAGTGATTAAGACCAGGGGGGCTTTCATAGTTGAAGCAGTTTAATAATTGGAATAAAGAGAAAAAGATTTTGCATAACCCAGGACTTTCATTTGTGGATGTTTCCAAGTGCTTACCTTGAAAACAACCAAGCTCTTGAAAATTAAGAAAAAGAGATTTGGCTCATTGCCATCATATATTTGACCCTGAAATAGATAAAAATTCAAAACAAGCATAATATACGGAGGAGGAAATATTTAAAGAATTTCTAGATAAAATGTTTGTCCATGTAAGCTTGCAGAATTAGTCCCTCTCTATACAATCTTGTTGAAGATTCTATTAAAAAAAGTTGTTTATAATATGCATTAAGTTAGCGAACTAGATAACAAGCAAAAAATAAAAATCCGCTTTTTGTATTTGAAGGGGGAGAGAAGACATACCACAACTGTATTACCCTTTGTGGAATCGGTGAGATCAAGCATATAGGAGATTGCATCAGCCCTGTCATCCTGCAATGCAAATATTAGCTTTAGACCTAAACAGTTCCAAAAGAATTTCACAAGGTGAGGATTGTCCAACACTTATTAACAGGTTCATTCGTATCTGGTTTATGTGAGATGCTCTTCAACACATTTTAATCAGAAAGGTTTAGGCAATAGACATGTTTCTCCCAAATATTTAACAGAAGTGATTAGGCAGAGATTAAAGCATATACTTTTAGTAGAAATTGTTTCTCCTTACCGCAACACTTTGAAGACCAATCCAAGTATAGAACAAGTTCTCCTCCCTTCCATTATCATTCATAAAAGTATACTGGATGACATAGCAATCCCCATTGTATAGTTTCGAATGCTCCATGGAAGGAATAAAAGTTCTATCATCATCACAACTTATCCGCCAAACCTGCAATTCCCAAAACGAGTAAGAACTTGTGCTGAAAGCCTGAAACAAAAGTGTTAACATTTGAAGACATGGAGATTTCTTATCACCTTTACTTTGCCACTCAAATCCATGACTTGATCTTCATCTTCTTCTTCGGGAAGCTCCTTCACACTATAACCCTGGTGTTTAAATATTGCTGCAAAAGGCATTTCAAAACGAAATTAATTACTGCATCCATTTACACATTATTAGTCTGCAACTGTATTGTGTCCTTTTCCCCTACCAACGAGTACATACCTGCTACTTTTCCTCGGCCTTCTTCATATAACTTTGGTTCTACAGATTGAGGCCAATCTCTAAAGTATGATATGAACACAGCAGTTTCTGTTCCCTCGGTTAAGAATGTTAAATGGGTCCCAGCTGATCTGCCCTGAGACCGGAGGATATCCTGGAAAAAAACAGCCACTCAAGTAACAACTCCAGACAACATATATATACACTTAAGCTCCATTTGATTGCATGGAATTAACTTGCCATGAGAAATGCTTTCTGTTCAAAACTCTGGAGAATAAATAGCTATAATGTATAATATAATGTTTGACTGGCCAAAGTTGTGTTAAATCCCACACCGGAAATGTTTGAATCAACGAAGTGCTATATTAAGACATGGGCTACTCCTCCTATCAGGTTGACCTTTTAGGATGGAACCTCATGTCTTAACATGGTATCAGAGCCAAATCGATCCATTGTGTGGACCCCCTTATGAAAAATGATTGACACGATTATAAAAAAAAATGACAATGACGAATTGACGAAAAAAAATGAATGACGGCACGATCCAGACTAAGAGTTTGGTCGTGAGGAGGGGTGTTAAATCCCACACCGGAAATGTTTGAATCAACGAAGTGCTATATTAAGACATGGGCTACTCCTTCTATCAGGTTGACCTTTTAGGATGGAACCTCATGTCTTAACAAGTTGAACACACAAAACTATTCCAAGAATATGTATTCACAAGCCAAACACAAGAAAGTCCGGAAAGATTTCAGGAAAAAGAAATCCTGGAAACAACAGAAGAGATAAGTAAAACAAGGTCCTCATGCTGTGTAGGATGTATTGATAGTGTTTTTGACTCAAGAAATTAATTGTAGTATCCCAAACCATTTATTGTTTTAAACTTCAATCTCATATGTGGATTCATGTTAGCTGACTCCAAACTCTTTTCGGATTAAGGCTTGGATGTTGTTGTTGTTGTTACCCCAAGGTATAACTTTAATCACCAATCTTCCACATTATATGAATGCATATGCATCACTTATTGCACTTTCACAATTATACACTTAAAATATAATATAAAAATATATGTGTGAGTATGTATATATGTGTGCAGGTCTATAATAAATCTTACTTCTGCTGAAGAAATTGAATTCTTCCGCTCCGTAACTGTCGTGAATCTTCCCACCCAAAGGAAAAGTTCACAATCACAGTCAAGCATGTAGCACCTATTAGAATCAAGCATCTCTTTGTTTAGAGTATTACCACTTCCAACCTCACAAAGCTTTCCCTGTGTGTTTATCCTGCCAATAAGAGAGTTGATTAACTCAACTTCAAAATTTGTTGATAGTATCCTTCTATCGGAACCTATTAAAATTGGAGCATTTTTACATGTTAGCAGTATTGATCATTATTAGGGTCTGCAGTATTCATCATTATAAGGTTCTTTTGAGTTTCCCAGATATCTTGGGATTGAGTTAGGCCAAAATTAACAAGGTATCGGATCCTGCTCCTGCAGTCATTTGTAAGGCATCTATGTGCGTGATGGTTTGGGAAGGCAGTTTAGACTTTAGAGTTGGTTGCCTATAGGGTTTGAGTACTATAAATGTGGAGATAACCCTCAAAATGTTTTTAATCCTGTTGGAGTGAGTTAGGCCTAATGTGATATAGAATACTTAGTTACTTACCAATAGAGTTTCAGCACTGCATTATCAGCTGCTGCTGCTGCTTCAATGTTAGAGGGCAAGCCCTTAGGAATGGGGGCATAACCACCAAATAAGCTCCAGAATTCACCAACATCAGGATCACTAACAAATTTTCCATCATCTACACAAATAAGCAATTTTAAAGGGGTTATCAAAATGGAAATTACAGAAGTGGTGATCAAACACTATTCAGACCTATAGTTGCAATGTCACATCTTCCGTTATGCTTGTTATCCCTAATATATTGAACAACCTCCAAAGCTTTTGCTCTTTCCTGAATGCTCGAGTTACATCCACTGAAAATGTAAATCTTTGATGCCGTATCAAGTATAAATACATCATCGTGATTCAAGGATGATCGTGTAAATGCGACCTAATCACAAAAGAAAAAAAACATTAATTCTTATTTTTGAGCAAAAATAAAAAGTCCACTCTTTATTTCAATTCTAAGTCTACGAAATTAATGATCCTGCTTTATTAAAAATTAAAATGAACATTAGGCTATGAAACCAAAATTTATAGAGATTCAGAGATCCGTTTGTCAAACAGTTCTTACTTCTCTAACATGAACAACACGGTCTCCTTTGCACATTAACATGCTGATTGTGTATTCTTCACTGCTTTCTTTAGACGGGCCAGACGAAAATACACCTTCAATTGGGATAACACAAGGCTTAAAGTATGACAAGAACTTCTCAGTTTCTTCCCCTTGAACTTCTCTATATTGTACAGCATATGACCCGAGTGATGCATCCAGTTCAAGAGCTTTGTCTGAAACCAAATCTGCATCTTCCTGCCAGTTCATTGAATCATCTATAAAATTAATCTTCAATGGAATTATATATTAGTCCTTAATTAACTATTTATGGTCCAAACCTGTTTGGCATTACTTCCAAGCCAATAGTGTATATCATGCTGACATGTTCCATTCTTGAGCAACAATGTCTGTCTCAGGGAAAAAAAGTATCACATACCGATACCCCTAAGAATGTGTCATTTATGTTTTCAAATATTTCACTACTATCATTCTCTAACCGAGTAAAATCTGAAGGGAAAAAGTTTGGAGGACAAAAGATAGTCTCAAACTCAAAAAATTTATTTTAAATATTATTTCAAACTCATTTTATTCATCTATTGCTACTACAAATACTACTCCCTATGTCGTGCTCAGCATTTTCAATTGCAATTTACGATCTCTGACTGATGATAATGTTAATTCCTCCCAAACAATATTTAAATTACTATTAATAATTAAAATTTAAGAAATTGCTCTAAATAGGAGTAAAACAGTGTGGAATTCCAAAATAGGAACACTGTGCTATTATTCCTTGTACGAGTAATTATTGTCATGCTTCAAAAGTACTGCCAACTATGGAAGTAATAATGCCATATTAAAGCCCGATAAATTACAGGATGGCAGGAAGTTATAAATTACTATTATTTAGGGCTAGTGCTCCTGTTTTAAAATTTAGATAATTTGGAACAACACAAAAAGCTCTATTTGTTTCTTAAAAATCAAATTTGAATTTGATAAAAAAAACGATCCCCAAAATTAGAAAACAAAATGATCTATTGACCACACGAATACTAAACTAGAAAATTTGAGTGGGACGGAGGGAGTATTTCCTTAATAAATCCAAGTACACGAATAAATAAAACCCATAGAACTATAACAATTTTCCATAATATTTTTTCCCTATTTTCTGAGATCCAAATACACCAAAAGACTAGCTTTGGATCCTGTAAAATGCTATGTAAAGTTAACTTTCCAGGAAAATGCCACTGAAAGTGTGAAAGGAAAGCTAATGCTTAGGAAGGTTAGTTTCTTAAGTTCAGAACTTCAAATTTTTCTCGTAAAATAAAAAGAATAAAATATGGCTATGTTTTAAATCGTATACATAAGTCTAGATCATTTAATAGTGATAGCAATATGATTAAATTAATAAATAAATAAATAATATTCATACCAATATTAAATATAAATTTATTGAGTATGATCCAATTTTTATTGTCCACAATAATGTTTTCCACTCAAATTTCTCCTATAATATTTTCCACATTTTCTTTCCGTAGCATTTTCTGCATCCCTAACCGATCCTAAGAGTTTCATCAATTTTTCAGCTGAAGCTTGGGTGTTCGAAACTTACATGTAACACTAGATAAGCACTTCCTGAGTAGAATTTCCCGTGCAAGGATATAGGGATCCGGACTAATTGGAGGTTCTCTACTCCCCAAATATCCAAGCCACTAGATTTGTTAAACAGTAAAGGATAAATTATTGAACATTAATGCAATTAAGCTAAACAGAATAAATAAACAGCATTCAAAGTTTCAAAATTCAAACTGAACAGATTAAATTAACAGCATCCAAACTGAACAGGTCAAATGAACATCACTCAAGCTAAAAAGAACGAATAAACAACATTCAAGCTAAACAGATTTCTACTATTACAGAAAATTAAATAGTAAATAGAGTTATGAGGATACGGTCTGACTCCTGCTCCATGAAACGCTGGATCCATTTCAAGCAGCTGTTTCGTAGTAACCCATTACTCAAAGTTGCTTTCTATGACCCTACAGATTAAGAATTCATCATTTTAATAGCATGGTGAAGAAAATGGTTACAACCCGCATTACACCAACAACCCCTTTATTTTGGAACTTTGGTTGTACAATGCCACAAGCTTTAACCGGACATATGGATTCAGAAATACAGATAAAGGCTACAGTTCAGCAATATAACATCACAAAGTTTCAAACTTTAGCTGCCATCCAGATTCTTTTATGCAGATTCTACACCAGCAAAACTGAGTATTGATACGATTAAAGAAGCAAACGGGAAATCAAGGATTACTGCTGAGTAATTCTTACCATACTTGTGTGGAGAACTATAGACTAAAATTGACGATATTGGGCAAAGAAAGAATGGGATGACTATGTGAAAGAAAGAAAGAATGGAACAACGTGGAGAGCACGATTACCAGCTGGCTTTTGACAAATGAAAGCAATAAGCTTTTGACAAATGAAAGCAAGAAGCCGTTTTCAATTCAAAAAAGGAAAGGGTCAAAAGACCAAAATAATGTTATAAATGTCACCTCCTTATTCCTCGTATTGTGTCATAGCTAAATTGCGTAGGAGAAATCCGGAAGTATAAATTATTCTTCAAATCAAATAATTTATACTCGATTCGAGATTTGAATTCGTATAAGACGATTCGAATCCGAAAAATTCAAATACAAAATAAGAATATTAAATTTGATTCGAATTGTTATCAAATACAAATATGAATGTCAGTATATTCGATTCGAATGCTAATCAAATATATTCGATTAATGGTAATGAAAACTAATACTCCCTCCGTCCCTAATCTTTCTCCCTTTTGGGCTGGGCACATTTATTAAGATAGTGGGATTTGTGTGGTGGAGAGTTGTGCAGAGGAGAGAAAAATGTGTAAGAATGTGTAAGAATGATTGTGAACCACAAATTTTTTGCTAAAAGGGGGAAGAGGAGATAATTTTGGGACGGACGAAAAAGGAAAGTTTGAAGATAATTTAGGGACGGAGGGAGTATTAATAGTAATAATAGTAGTAATATCACTATAATAACTTTTTAAAATTAGCTACACCCTCAAAGCTAATTTGTAATAGATCAATAATATCATAGGGAGTAAGGGTAATCATAAATTATGATTAAAATTTGAAAATATAGAATATAAATATGTATACAAATCAGATTTTTGGCTCCATATAGAATATAAATAATAGAATATAAATATAAATAGTCAAATATGAATATAAATATAAATAGTCAAATATGAATACAAATAATTAATTATGTATTTGATTCGAAGATCAATGAAATACTCCATATATATTTGTTTATACATAAACAAAATCAACTATCTAGTATAAGTGTGCATTAGCTACCAACTATCTAGTTCGGATGTTGATTCAAATAATTCACCGTTATTAAATAAAGAATTGGATCAAATAATTGTTGAATGTGAAATTAATTTGACTGACAATCTACATGATCAACACATTGATTTTGAATCTTTGGAAGTTGATCTGACAAAAAATTGCCAATTTCCATCCTAATGTTCAACCTTAGGACCATGATTTCCCTTTTAATTGTGCCAGTGTGCAGCTTGTAGCCTAGGTGCCTAGGGGACAAGGCAGTGTTCTGGCGCCGTGATTACACAGGGATGGATCATTGTGAGGGCAGGGGTGGACTCAAGCCCAGCCCAATGTTTTATATATATATATAGAATAAGTTTGATTATCAGCCTTCCCCACAATTAATTTCCAGCTGGCCCAGCCCAAGCTTAATCCAAGTGTCCAACAATTCCACTAATCCACTCACCTGGGGCCTATTGAAGAACGGAGGGCGAAGAAGAGCCGGCAGCTTGCGACGAGCCGACGAAGACGCTGTGAACTGCGAACACCAGCTGACCTGCGGCCACCAGCCGCGCCGCCGGACGTCATCGCCCACTCAGCCGTGTTTTCTCTCCGTCTCTCCTCTCTGCCAGTAGCTCCTGAGCTCCAGCCTCTAGGCGACCAGGTATACTCTAGCTCTAAATTTCTAATACTTTTTTAGACTTTAATTAATCGAAATTTTCAGGGTTATTTTTTATTGTTATTGTGTATTGTTGTTGTGTATTGTTATTTTTAGGGTTAGAAATCAATTTGATTATTAATTGAATTTCTCAGTTCATAACAAAATAGTGTTTATTCATTATAAATTTGTAATGATTAAAGATAGAATTAAAGATTAGAGAATGATTTATTTATTATACAATTGAAGAATATGGATTGATTTATTCATTGTGTGGACATGTAAGAAAGAATTAAAATTTTCAATTAAATTTTGAAATTGGGAATACTTATTAGTTTTACGTACAACTATTGTTTCCTCTTATTAGTTTTATAATTTTATAGAATTATTTTAATTCATACCAATATTGAAAATGTTTTTTTAGAATGGATAATGATGAATGAACACACTCCCAAGAAAGGAAAGAAGTTAATTTTGTCATTCTTTCCGAAAGTGGTTTGTCAAAGTGGTGAAGCCAGTTCTGAACCTATACCTACGATAATGCAAGATCTACAAAATGAGGTTCCTCCACAAGAGCAAATCCCTAAAATCCAAACTATCTAAAATTTGGAGCTGCCTCCATCTTTTTGCATTAATAGATGTAGATTCTATATTATTGATGAATTTTATACTTTGAAGTCGCGTAGAGCACAACTTAAATGATGCTTTGATGAATATTTAAAGTGGTGATGACTTTCAGTATTACTATGTGTGTGTCTTCAAATTTTGTTTCTCAGCCCACCCCATTGTAGAGTTCTGGATCCGCCCCTGATTACACTGCTTTCGACTTATTTTCTGTTGATAAAACATGGGATTTTTTGTTAATAAAATATGGTTGTTTGGCTTTTTGCAATGGATTCCTATGAATCTTCTTGTAAAATTTGTATGTTCCTTATATTTCTATTTGCATTCTTGATTTGAGCCTTTTTTAATGATTTCTTTGAACAATTTCTAATAAATATGCATTGTCATTGATCCATAACAAGTATTGCTTAGCTAACTTAATTTAGGAAACTTGCTTAGAATATAGGCCAGTTATATGTTGTCTTAAATCTATTTTTGGAAATATGGGAGGGTGAAGACCCAAAAGAGCTAGATCTGTCTCTTCTCACATAATAATAACTCGAGGACTGATGATGCCTAACATATTATTTTGGACAAAATGCAATATTTCATTAAGGACATTCAGCACTCTGAATGTCTTTCTAGGCCTCGTGACTGTCAGACTGTGGCTAACAGCTCTTGCTATATAGAATGTTTTTACTTGGACTGTAATTCGTCCCAGACCAGATCAGACCAGGCCAGTTCAGACTAGACCAGACCAGACTTGGATAGTTATAAAAATACAAAGAAACCAGACCAAACCAGATCAGACCAGACCATCAAATTAGAGTCCAAGTAAAAACATCCATAGTGTACCACTTGGTTTAGTTCCCTGTATACATGTACAGATGGGATCTCCGAAATCTTTGCAACTCTTCTCTGCATCTCTCTATAATCATCTGTTTTTTTAATCTTTGATTCCTAATTTGAGAATTTACCGGATGGGATAAAGATGGCAGTAGTAGGATATAATTTTGAGCTTTTGTATTTTATGTGGATTGAAAGTCATTAAGGACATTGTTTTTTACAATAACGTGCCGATGGTATTAGAAAGTCAGTACTCATTTCTCTATATGATGACTATAGTGACAACTGGAGACTTCTATCTTTTGAATATGAACCATGAAGAAGTTCAATTTTACATGGAGGACGATGAATGGTTATAATCATTTTTAATTTGATAAAAGCATGATTTTATGTTAGTATATTTTTAGTAGTATTATGAAATATAGTCCTGTTGTTTATATTTGTCTGTCCATTCGTTCTAAAGCTTGCTTGTACTGCGGCTTTCTTACATTGAATTAGGTCTTAGAAAGCTGTGCAGTAAGTTTGTAAGTGCATGTTTAAATTATATTATCTTCTGATGACAGAGTGACTGCATTGCAGTAGAGTTCAAATGAATCCATTGACATTAGTAAAGCGTATCCAGAACATAAATGCTAAGGAAGCTGCATTGGGTTTATCTGAAGATGCTTCGTGGCATGTCAAGTACAAAGAGTCCGCTTATGTATTTGTTGGTGGGGTTCCCTTTGACCTCACCGAAGGCGACCTCCTAGCTGTTTTTGCTCAGTATGTATTTTTGTTTAATTTAATTTTCTATTTTGTATGGAGGAATAGAACTTTCAAAAACTAATTTACTTCTGATTTTCTAATAATGCAACTTTTTAGATATGGTGAGATTGTTGATGTGAATCTTGTTAGAGATAAGGGAACAGGAAAGTCTAAAGGCTTTGCTTTCGTTGCATATGAGGATCAGAGAAGTACAAATCTTGCTGTAGGTCAGTCAGTCTTTTTTTGGACAACAGTGAGTATTAGTTGTATATATACTCCGTATCATGTACTTAATACTGATCAATCTCGATTTTCACTTCTATTGGATTTACAGATAATCTGAATGGTGCCCAAATTCTTGGGCGGATTATAAGAGTGGATCACGCTAGTAATTATAAGAAGAAAGAGGAAGAGGATGAGGAGACAGCAAGAAAGAAAAGAGAAGAAAGAGGTGTATGTCGTGCCTTTCAGAAGGGTGAATGCACTAGGGGAGACGGATGTAAATTTTCCCATGATGAGAAAGTGAGTTTGACTTCATCAATTTAGTACGGAGTATATTAGCATTGATGTTACTCTTGTTGTACGATTTGAGGTGTCATATATCTTAGTTGATGGCATCCGCTGGCAGTAGCCCACAGCCTAGGTAATTGATTAGAACTTATAAGGGAAACAATTTTCAGTTAAAAATGTTAAATTGAAAAGAAAGTGTGAATAACCACAGAAAGCTTAATAGTCTTCTGCAAAACAGCTTTATGATATCTCATTCTTTTTATCAGCTCACTTTGAAGGTCTTAAACTAGATAGTATAATTGCTTTGCTGAAAGGCACAAACTGCACGAGGAAAGAACACAGCTAGCCGATAGTATGAAAGCTACATAGGTTATCTAGCTGTTCTGACCTTTTGAATCTTCTAACCGATTCAATTGTCTGTTTGTTGCATTTGTTTTGCAATTTTAGGTCTGATGGTGTAAAAAACCAATTACTATGAAATAAAAAAAGCAGCCTTTAAATGGCGGCAATTAAAACGAAATAAACAAGAACACAGGTTCGGCCCAAGTGCTTGACCCACATCCCATAATTTCTTTTATTTATTACTACCTCCGTTCCCATTTTAACTTCCAAATGCTTTTGGCACAAAGTTTAAGATAGTGGATATTGTGTGGTTGAGAGTTGTGCAGAGGAGAGAGAAATGTGTAAGAAATGTTGTGAACCACAAATTCTTTACCAAAAAGGGAAAGTGGAAGTTTTAATTGGAACGGACGAAAAAGGAAAGTTGGAAGTTTATTTAGGAACGGAGGGAATATTTTTTAACGCAATCCTTCACCGGCGGTTCAATGTTATAAAATCCCACCGCTTATTTTATGATTTTTCTCAACTCTACAAATCTTTTGGGATTAAGGCTTGGATGTTGTTGTTGTTGCTCTCAACTCTACAAATCTGTGTTCTTACTTCTATGGTTTTTGTTCGCTACCGCTTTTTCCAAGCTCATGTTGATGACTTGATGCCAACTTGCCGCCAATTCTCACTGAGTTTGAGAATCTAAATAAGTTTTAACTTTTTATTATCATATTTTTTGCAATCATTCTTCCTGACTTGTCTGCCTGGAATGCCTGCAAACATGACCAACTGCAACTTATTCCAGCAAGATAACTTGCCCAGCAGATTATTCTGCCTGATAGCTTTGCTGTTCCTAATCCAAATCTTCCACTCCTTTTTCCTCTAAGAGGGTGTTTTTTATTGTCTTAACTTAAAGTAAAGACGATAAGTCATAAGTAAAATAGCAATCTTTGATTAATAAGATCCCTGAAGTATAGAGTCTTTGTGTTAACGATATATGTCCAGCATCGTGTCTAGTGTGAACCCCAATTGCTTCCCTAACTTTTGTGATCAGCATTCCTTGTTTGCTATCAAGATCCCTTCTTTTCCTTCCATCTCTTTCTCAGCTCTGTCATGTTCAATTCAGATTTTTTGTACTCCAAACCAATGAATTTCTTGGAAGCCAAGGTAAAAATAGTACGTAGTATAATATGACTAGAATACCCCTCTTAATAATTTAAAATACTGTGTAACATTTTTTGGATAGAGAAGCGAAGTTTTATAAAATGATTAATTAATGATTTCTTATATTGTGAAGTGGCACATTAGTTAAAAGAGAACAGTACTTGTTATCTGCATGATATTGCTCCTAACTTTGAACTATCAGTTTCTTGTTATACATCTTTTAGTGGATACAATCTCTCCCTCTCCCTCTATTACTCACTAACTACGGAGTATGTTTTAATGTGCATTCAGAGAGCATCAAACACAGGCTGGGGACATGAAGAAGATAGAACTTCAAAATGGGGACATCAAGAAGATAGGCCTTCAACGTGGGGACGTGAGGAAGATAGACGTTCAAAATGGAGCCATCACGAAAATGCGGGAAAACAGGTAGATGTGCAGAACTATGAGCGTAAAAAGATGGATTCAGTAGATAGGCACAGTAGAGGTTTTGAGAAGACGCAATCAAGACACAAAGAACATGCGACTGATGACAGGGGAGATGACTATGATGAACCGAAGTCACCACGAGGTCGTGATAGTAGGATGCATGAAAAAGCGAGGAGGCATGATCATGATTCAAGATCAAGGAAACATGACAATGATCAAAGGTCAAGGGAAGATAATGGCTATAGGAGAGAGAGAACAAGAAGACGTGATTAAATGTGATTCTGGAAGGCGGTCATTGAGGTGCTTGCTACATATTATGAGACAGGAGATAAAACATCTCTTTTCACGTTGTGAAGTGATGAGTGACTCACTGTCTCATCTCTCCTTGTTTTTCTATTAGATAAAACCTATGCCAGCCTTCTTTTCCACCATGGTTTCTGCTACAGTCTCTGCTCTTGAAGAAGTTCAGTATGAATCTGCAATCTTGTCTAATCATGATAGGGGCAGCAACTTGTATGACTTTTTAATGTAATTATTTGACAGCCACCTACTGAACAATGAATGAAATGGCTAACGACCCACATCTTGAATTCGCATTTTCGCATGTATGACACTCCCTTCGTCATGCAATTTCCTCAAGGCAGCAATCCACTGAATTCGATAAAGCCATTCAATCGATGTCGAGTCGCCGATCACTTTAGGACCCAACCGTTAACATTTGTCCGTGACTCTGTGTAGTCGTGTAGGTTCGCTAGTCAAACTACAGTTGAGCATCATTATCACTTTAATGTTTTCAACGAGGCAATAGGTTTTGTAATTTGTATTGATTGAGTGCTGATGCTATTTATATTCTAGCAAGGAAGTTCTATCTCGAAGATTTTAGTAGTTAGGATATTCGTGCTTTGGAATTCGAGTTGCAACACTATGTTCATGATGTGATTCCTGATACAAAGTTTCAAATATCTACACTTGTTGAATTATGTGGGGAGTTGACTAAGAGAAGAAGATCAGATTCATATGCTATGAGGAGCAGATTGATTCGCCTTGTAGTGATCTTAATAGTTGCTACTGCAACAGCAGAACGATTTTCTGCACGAAACTTCTAAAGACAACACGCTGGCACGCCGCAACAAAATGGCGGATGACTTTCTTGCAGATTGCATGACACTTTATATTTAAAGAGCATTCTCTTAATATAGATGTAGACTTGTCAAAAAACTGTATTATTGACGAGTTTTTTGATTCAAAGCCTCCTCGAGGACAAATTTAGTTGAGAACTCTTATATATTTTTCTGCTTATTTTGAAAATTTTCAATGTATTATCATTTAAGTGTTTCAGCCCACTCCAACATGAAATCCTGGATCCACTTGGGAAACTGACTACTCTACTTAACAAATACAATAAGCTGGAGTCTAACTTATATTCATACGGAGTACAATGACACAATTGTAAGTAATGTTGATATAATTAATGCTTTAAGAATCCATTTGAGCCTCGCAGATAGCATTTTTGTGGTCAATTAAAACGCTTTATATAGTTTCGTAAGCTAACATTTTATTTTATCTAAAAGTTTTTACTGTTTCATGAACTTTTTAATTTAGTTTTATCTCAACACTTGTTGTGGCGAGCAGACGGCGAAACAAAGATTCCATCCAGCTGAGAAATCGGCCCCCAGCGCCGACATCATCACGTGGCCACCGACCCCCTGGTACGGTGCCATTATCATATTTGAAGAGCGGCCTCGTCCCCGCCCCCTGCGGATGAGGACCGTTGATTATTTCAGGTCGGTTCCTAGTGCCGACATCATTACATGGCCACTGACCCCCTAGTAAGGTGTCATCATCATATTTGAAGACCGGCCTCGTCCCCGTTCCTCGCGGATGAGGACCGTTGATTATTTCAAGTCGGCTCTCAGCGCCAACATCATTAAATGGCCACCGACCCCCTGGTATGGTGCCATCATCATATTTGAAGAACGGCCTCGTCCCCGCTCCTCGCGGATGAGGACCGTCGATTATTTCAGATCGGCTCCCAACGCCGACATCATTACATGGCCACCGACCCCCTGGTACGGTGCCATCATCATATTTGAAGACCGGCCTCGTCCCCGCTCCTCGCGGATGAGGACCGTTGATTATTCCAGATCGGCTCCCAGCGCCGACATCATTACATGGCCACCGACCCCCTGGTAAAGTACCATCATCATATTTGAAGACCGGCCTCGTCTCCACTCCTCGCGGATGAGGACCTGATGGATGGTATACCCGGGGGGTAGCTTATCCGAGGGGTTATTACGTGGAACAATAAGAGAGAAGTCAGAGCAAGTAAGTATAGAGAGAGAAAGTATATTTAGAAAGTATGCAGTGTTTTCAGCGTGGTTACAAACGGGGAAATGGGGTGCTATTTATAGTAGCAATAAATGCCAGACAGGGACACGTGTCAAGCGTCTATTGGCCGAGAGGTCATCTCAACTGGTTGGCGCTGGCAACCGCATGTGGCCGCATTTAATGCGGCTGTTGGATGGGACGTTGTACAGGGTACGGTGATCTGTACGCATGTGGCGTGGATATCATGTCGGGAAAGGTGCCCTCGGCAGTAGATGACTAGCTGAGGGCTCTGAGTGCCGGGGACCCCCTTAGTGCCGAGGGGGCTGAAGGCACCCCTGGTGCATATTGTGGGCTGCTTGGTATTCTGGGCGCTGTGATTTGGGCCTGTTGTGCTTTCTGGGCCTGTTGGGCCTTTATTGGAGTCGTAAGAGTGTGTGGGCCGGGGGTTCCCGGGCCATATACTCCATCAGGAGTCCCTCACTCCTTTTGCCGAAAGGTACTTGAGGGAAAAGGAGTAATTGTGTTTGTCCTCTGCCGTTGTTCCATTTGTAGTTTGTAGAGTTGTGGGTAGTTTGCTGTTTGTTTATTCTGCTGAGGGCAGTCCCTTAGTTACCCACATGTCGGTACTTGAGGGGTCCTGTTTGTGGTTTTTGTGATTTTTCCTGGGGGGGGGGGGGGGGTCTCCAGTCCCCCACTCCTTGAGGCACTTGCAAAGTGGTGAAAAGGAGTAGAGTAGGTGCGCTGCTGCTTCAGGCCGAAGGCTGACGCTTTTCGTTTCATTTTGGGGGGATGCCTCGTTAAAAACCTCATTAGGAAAAACCCTGTGGGAAAAAAAATCCTAATGAGGGAAAAAGAGTGCACCGAATTCCCCCAACGATGAATCGAAAATGTGAAACCTTGGTTCGAAATGGAGAATAATGCTGATGCCGAAGGCTTTCCTTGGTCTGAGGGCTCATGTGTTGATTAGTCGGGGGCATGCTATTGATTTCCTGGGAGGTGCCGAAGGGGAGTCCCTCAATCTGGGGATCGAGGGCGTCATGAATGTGAGTAGCAGTTGAAGTGTCACCGGGGTGCCCCCTGTTTGTTGTTCAGTTGGGGAGAAGGGGATATCCGAGGGCTCCTGTAACCTGTGTGTCGTAGGCTGTCCGTCCATGAGGCGCATTTCCCGGGGGCTACCCGGCCCTCACAGTGCTGAGGGGGGATCCCCGAGGGGTGGCCTGTTATGAAGCCGTGGGCTTCTGAAGGAGTGAGCCCGAAGGCACTTGTTATGTGGTGTGTGGGGCACAAACCGGTAGCATCTCTGGGTAAGTGTACCCGGGGGCTCTTCTTGATGAAGTGGAGTGAAGTCAAAAGCCCCGGGGCCAGTGTTTCCTGGTCGATGAAGGAGTGGTCTGCCAAGTGTAGCCGGGAGCTCCCGGAATATAGCCGTTGGAAATATAGCCGTTGGAATATCTAACGTCAGAATATAGCCGTTGGGGGGGGGGGGGGGGGGTTGCCACGTGGTGTGTGCTCGTTGGCTGCCCGTGGGCAGACGTCACCGATTGGGCGAAGCCACGATGTGTAATGATGGCAGTCCAACCGGAGGCCCGGTTTCCAGGCCCAAGCCCGGATCCCAGCGCCTATAAATACCCCATGGCCGGACACCACTCTCCTTGTGCGATTACCTGTTAGCGAAGCTCTGCCGGATTTTTTCTAGAGAGAGAAACACTGCCCTCGATCTAACTCCCGCTTTAAGGTCAGTTCCCCCATCTGTTCTTCTCCCTCCTTAGCTAGCTGTAGCGGCCTTAGATCTAGGACTGTAACCTAGAACACTTAGTGTTTTCGAGCCCTCGAACCAGTTGCAAAGATGTCTTCCCAAAGTGATTCCCAGGATATATCGAGGGATCCCTCGATGGAAGAGGAGAGCTTCTCGGATGCGGGGTCCTCGAGCGAGCAGCCCTCGGCCCAAGAGGATGTCGCGATGGCGATGGAGGTGCAGAAGGAGTTGGTGGCTGAAGTTGAAGCCGAGGGCTTCGAGCAAGAGGCGGAGGATGAAGAGCTTGCCCTCGCCGTACAAGTTGCACAGGAGGAGGAAGAAAAGGAGAGGATGAAGGTGACAGTGGCCGTCCTTCCCCCTCGGGGTGCTGGTGAGGCAGGGAGCTCTCGGCCCCTCAACCCGACGCCGATAAGAGTGGCCCCCGGGAAAAAACAGGAGAAGAAGAGAGCCGCTTCTAAGAAGAAATGCGTTGCTGCCGATCAGGGGAAGCCCACAGATGTGTCCGAGGGGTACTCCTGGCTGAATATTGCTGCCCTGGAGATAGGGTCGAAGGCTGACAGGGAAGACATGTACGTGACTCAGCTGCACGTGGGGCCTTCGGCTGTGGTGGTGGCGCCGGGCCCTGATGATGTGCTCTCTCGGGCTCCCGAGGGTTGCATCGATGTGCACATCCTGTCGGTGTCAATGGGGCTCCGGTTCCCCCTGCACCCATTCCTTTGGGAGTATCTCCGGTATGTGGGCTTGGTCCCCTGCCAGTTGACGCCCAACAGCCACTCCTACGTGGCGGGCTTCCTGAACCTCTGCCGGGCCCGAGGGGTGACCCCCAGCCTGGACTTGTTTTTTCAGAGTTTCAACCTCTGCCGAGGGGGTCACGCGAACGCCGAGGGCTTCGCCAATCTGCAACAGGTGGCTCGGTGGAAATTATTCACAGAAGCGCCCTCGTCCAACAAAGGCTGGAAGGAGCGGTGGTGTTACGTTAGAATCGCCGAGAGCCCCTTTCCGATGGAACTTCGGGATCGCTTCCGTTGGCACCCGAAGGTCGGAAGCGCTGCTCTGGAGAAGGATGGCTTGATAATAGCCAAGATCCCGGAGGGCCGCACGAAGCAAGTGTCCATTAAGGACTTCACTGCCGACAAGGAGCTTTTCGCCCTCGGCTTCCGCAGATATCGCTTCCTCGGCGAAACAGACGAGAAGTATCCTGTGCTGGCAGGAGTTAGTCTCCGAGGGCTTCCTTTTTTTTTGTACTTAGGATTTTTCCCCCCTTTCTTTTTTTGCTCTTTTTCCCTTCGGTCTAACCCCTTTGTTTTTGTTGGCAGGTGTTAATATGGACGCTGGTAAACTCTTCGCTCTGAAGAAGAAGAAGGGTAAGACCCAAGCCCAGAAGAAGGACCCTTCGGTCCAACCGCCTGTGGGAGCCTTCTTCCAAAAAGAGACTTCGGAGCCCTCTGCTGCGGAGGGAGTTGTCGGGGTGGCGGAGGGGGCCACCAAAAAGAAAAAAGGGAGCAAGGTGGTTGAGCCCCCGGCTAAGAAGCAGAGGGGTGCGGGGGGAACCGTCGACCAGGATGCCCCCTTGGTGATCATTGAGGATCGCCCTTCTCCGGATCCTCCGGTTGATGCTGCGGCGACAGCCCAAGCCAATCCTCCCTTGAGAAGCCCCCCTCGGGAGATCTTGCAGCTTTCCTTGGCCCCGGGGGCTTCCGTCCTACATGGCTCAGCGGAGCCGAAAGCTTTCTTGAGGGGGATGACCTCGTTAATGGACAAGGCTGCCCTCTCAACCTATGATGACGAGGCCCTCGAGAACAGGATCCTTCGGTCTTCATTAACTGTAAGTTTGTTCCTTTAGGTTTTGTGTTTAACTTTTAATGCTCTTTCCACGTTAATCTGACCCCTCCTCCCGTTGTTTATCAGGCTTGCGTAGCCCTCGGGGAGCACGCACAGAGGCTTGAGCAATGGCACCTCCGGAAGGCGGAGCAGGATCGAGAGATGAAGGAGCTCATCCTGAAGAACTCCGATGCTGTAAAGCAGATGGCCACGCTGGAGGAAGATCTTCGGAAAGCCGAGAGGGCCAAAGCTGCAGCGGAGGAAGCCAGGCTTGAGGCCGAGAGGGCAGCTAAGAAAGCCGCCGAGGAGGCGGAGATTGCTAAGGCCGAGGCCGTCGCCAAAGCCCGGAAAGAAGCTGTTGCCGCATTCATGGCCGAGGGCTGGAAAGCCGAAGATAGGCGGCAGTGGGTGACCTCGGTTGTGGAGTCATCGGTAGATGACTGGGTGAAGGGCCCCGGGGGAG